GTAGGTGAGGTTTGTTTGGGGTTTTGGCAGAAAAGTCAATCAATGTAATTATCTACATAGAGGTTAATCGGTCACTAGATGCGCGTTGTTTCGTGGTGGTGGGGTGGGGACTGTGGTGCGACGTTTCGACAACAGCGTCCCATACTCGTTTTGTTGATGAGATTTGTTCTTTCTATAATCTTATTTCGAATTGCTACCTTCGTCCCGTTCTAAATCGCTCGTTTTAACTTTTAGATATATTTAGAAAAAATTAAAAATAGAATTGATTTTTTGAAAATTATCAATACTTTTTAGATGTGATGATGATGAATGAGAATATAATGTGGAGAAGATTGACTTATTTTAGATGTAGTTTAGGTATTTTATTTTTAAAAGTTTATAAAAACAACTAACATGCAACTTATTTTGGGACGGAGAAAAAAGACAAACAGGGAATTTAAAATGGGACGGAGGGAGTACTATTTATAATATCAAATTTTTTCGTTACCTATTTTTGTTAGTTACTCCCTCTGTCCTAAACTTTCTTCCCAGAGCACTATTCGAACTTCACGGGAATTTATATTTATTTGTGTTTTTTCATGGCCTATATGATAAAATAAAATATTCTTGTCACCACTTGTTTTGTTGAACTTTTGATGTAGTTTTTAAATATGTATGTTTTATTTTTTATTTCTATACCAATATTTAAATAAAATAGATTGAAAAAACTTGGAATTTTTCTTCGTTTTGCGCAACGGGAAGAAAGTTTAGGACGGAGGGAGTTCTTGATAAAATAATATAGTTTTGTCACTTTGTATGTACCGTAGTAAAACTTTTGATGTAATTTCTAAATATATAAATTTTATTTTTAAATTTTACATCTATAATCAAATAAGTTAAATTGAAAAATAAAGTCAGCCAAAACTCATAAATATAAACAGAAAAAACGTTTTAAAACAGAGGAAGTACTTAATTTTAGTTTTATTCAACTCGGTGAAAAAAATTTTTATTTTGAGATGCAAAAGTAAACTACCACGTGGTACTATATGTTCTTTTTAATATAATAGGTCCTCACAATATCTCACACAAATTATATGACACCGCCCGATGTTCTATTCTTTTCGAGCATTGTGATAAACTTAATTGTAATTTAAAAAAAATACATATATTTTTATTGTTAAGGATGGAGCTCAGTTTTTATTGACGAGATTTGAGACGACTACAATGAGGTGAACTGCCTTCTTTGTTATTGATTTTGTTAGACTTGGAGTGAAAATGTATAATATTTGATTGATTTTATTTTGTTAGAGTAGGTTTTTTGTTTAAATGCTTGTTTGAATTTAAACAACAAATGTTATATATCAAAAACTACAAATATATCTAGAACATATTCTACTAGAAAGCAAAACTATATTGTCATATCAAATAATAGATGGATACCTATAACTAAAGATGAAATAATTTAACTATGTCAATAGTAACGGCTAAGAATCCAACGAGACAAAGGGAGTAGAAAAGATGTGTTTGTGCATTATAGAGGCGGGTAACTTATACACCAATTGCCATTCAACCTAATTCTAGCTTAGCGCAATTTCATTCGCTGGAGTATCATGGAAATCTAATATCCCTATTAGAGCTTTGACCCGCTAGATTCCAAAGGACCATATCCCCTTATGCCAATCGATCATGTCAATGGGCTAAATCGTATTGACCACAATCGAAGGGGAAGATCCCCTAAACTACATGCTTAGATGCTACTGGTCGATCCCCCTAACTATGAACTCTGATGCTTTGGCAAGCAGGAGAGAAATTGAAAGGGGTTGATGTAGGCAGGTTGTGTGCACGCTTAAATTAAAAGACGATCTTGCCGCAAAGTCGTTCTAAGCTAAAATAGTATTTTAATATTTTTTAATTTTTTCTTCTTTTTTTGTTGTTTACATTCTATTCCTATTCATATTATAGGGTTTCCCTATAAATACCCATATGTAATCTTGAGAATATAGAATTGTTTTTTACTCAAAGTTTTCTCTTAGAATCTGGTGGACTTCCGGTTTATTACTCTAGAGCTTCGCGCTTGCGAATATCCGTTGACAAAGACTCGCGTTTGCTTGTCTTTCGAGTTCCCTACTGCTTTAGTTGGTATCAGAGCGTGGTTTTCTCTTGTTCTGTTTTGAATTCTGTAGCATCATGGGAGAACTAGTTACCAAGGCAAACCTAGAAGGGATCATTGCGGCTTTTACCACGAATCTTGCTAGTCTGATAAATCAGATGGCGGCGTTAACCACTCAGATGACGACTAACATCCTTGCTAACAACAACCGATCGCCACGGGTAGGCGGAAAAGTAGGTCGAGATCAGAAACCACATCAACGGGTTGGAAACCATCCTGATGGAGAACACTCAAGTTCCGAAGAAGAAGAGGCTTGTGAAGACGAACAACAAAATAATCATGACTACCGCGTGAAGGCAGATATTCCTCTATTCTATGGAACTACGGGAGTGGAGGAGTTCCTGGATTTGCAGATCAAAGTTGATAGATTTGTTTATGTCATGGGGGTTTTGTAGGGAAACCAAGTCAAGATGGTGGTCATTCGTCTAATTAAAAAGCACGACTGTGGTTAGGTGGGACGAACTTGTTTGCCTCAAATAGAGGCAGAGGAGATCACCAGTGAGAACATGGAGGTGCATGAAACAATTGATGATGGAGGGTTCTTACCCAATGACTATGAACAAATTTTATATAAGATGTGTATAGAGTGTGCTCGGGGAAAGAAAAGTGTCACTGAATACACCACTGAATTCTACTGTTGAGTGAGTGCAATGAACTCGAAGAAAGTGAAGACCAAAAAGTGGCTCGTTATAATAGTGGTTTAAAGGGATCTACACCGGAGAAGATGGGATTGCAAACCCACATATTTCCGCAGAAACCCACATCAGAACAACAACGGGACAACAAGTGACAAAGATAAGGGTACAACATTTAGGGACACCTCAGCTGACAACGACAGTGCTTGTAGTTCTTTGTTAACAAAACCAAACACCAAAAGTTGGTTAATCTTTACGCAAAGCCAATGGGAGAAAAATGTTTTCGGTGTGGGGGCCAAGGTCATAGTATAGGTTGAATGTTTGTCCATCTAGGCGAACAATTGATGTTGTTAAAGTTGATGGCAAGGAGTACTCAAAAAAAGAATGAAGAGGGATACTCAGATGTGGAGTTTGGTGAGGGTGAATCTTAAGATAGGGTGAACATCATCCTCTAAGAGCTTGTTCTCTCCTCAAAAGAAGAGGGGCAACGAAAGAATCTGTTCAAGGCACATTGGTCAGTTATAGGCAAGGTATGCAATTTAATAGTGGATAACGGAAGCATAGAGAATCCAGTTTCCCAGAAATTGGTGGACTATCAAGCTTTACCCCACAAAACCCGGTGAAAAGGCCTTCAAGCTATAAGGGTCCTCAAGTTTGGGTTTCTTTGACTTCCAGGTAAGGGTGTTCCTCATGTCACATCTTGTGTTTTTACGGAACATAATTTCTATATGAATTACTCCCTCCGTCCGGAAAAGAAGTTTACGTTTTGACTTTTAGTCATTTTTATTGATAGTTGACTATGAAGTCAATTTGTCCAAAATACCCTCCCACTTCTAGCTTCACCACAGTGCCAATTTCGGCAACCCCCATTGTCGGCTTGCCTGCCGCTAGACCCCGTCAGCCCCCGTCTCCGGCAGCCTCCCTTCACCGCCATCCCTCACCACAATCATCAGCCTACCGTCGCGCTTGCCCCCCTTCATTGCCTCCATCGCCTATCACAACCACCATCCTTACCACCGCTGCCAATCCTCCATCTCCGCCAGCACCATGTCACCGCCAGCCCCCATCCCCACTATCACCTTAATAGCTGCCATCTGCCATCTCTGCAATTGTAGATCTCTTTAGATCTCAAAGAAAGAGGGAGATGGAGGAGGGAGATGGAGGATGCGAAAGAAGAAGTGAGATCTACACAAAGAGAAAGGAGAAAAGAAGAAAAGAAAAAAAGAGTTGCGTTTGGGAGGAGAAGCAAAAAAATGAAAAGAGAGAAGAAGCTAAAGAGAAAGAATGGGGATAAGGAGAGAAAGGAGTGGCGGAGAAGAGGGGAGAAATAAGGAAAAAGTAAAGGAAAAAAGAAGAGAGGGGTATTTTTGGAAGATTGTGGATTAAAATTAGAAATGTAAACTTTATTTCCGGACGGAGAAAAATGAGAAACGTAAACTTCTTTTCCGGACGGAGGGAGTATAATTTTCAAAAAAACATATATGTAAATTTATTTTTTAATTATATATTAATTTAAACAAAGTAAATTTAAAGTAATTTTAGTTTAAACGGCTTGAAAATTTAATTTTGAGACGGAGAGAGTACAATTGTTTATAAGTGAGTGTACCAAAAGCTAAAACAAAGAGCAAATAATGTTTTTCTTAACCCACACCCAAAGCAAAGGATAAAATAGGAAGACTACGAAAGCCCCACCAATCCCAAGAAACCAACCAATAAGCTTCTTCCGCAAATATGGCTTATCTATCTCCTCCCGCTCCCTTTATTATTCTTTGTCCTCCTCCCTCTCCTCCGCCACCATCTAGCTAGAGAGATCCATGGCAGCTGGAACGATGGCAGCGAACCGCAACAAGGCAGCGATAAGTTTAACATTCGGCATAAGAACCGGGTCCCACCAGAAGCTCACCGAGGACGGCGACAAATGCAGTAGGGGCTTGGAGGAGAATGAGAAGGTGGAGATCCTGCTCAAGGCACTAAGGCTGTCGCAGAGTAGGGCGAGAGTGGCAGAGAGGAGATACCAAGCCTTGTGCAAGGAAACCGATCACCTGTCGAATCTTCTTCTGCAAGAATCCCTGAGGTTTCTCGCATGTCGGAACACCATCAGGTTGCTTGAGCTTCAAGCATCTCAGTTGAAGAGCACAGATGCTCATCATAAAGGACCATCTTCTTCAAGCTCCAGTTTGGCGTGGTTTATGTCAAGGGCTTTTTGCGTGGGAATAGGTTGTGGGATTTGCCTTGCATTTGGATGCATATACTTCTGATTCATTGTACACTTTACTAATAAGACTGTTCTTTTGTCTCAAAATTGGGTAAAAAGTAAATGGTCAAAATGCTCATGGTAAGTGCTAAATGGGGGGGGGGTGAACTTGATACTATTGCATTTACATGTGCCCATTAATTTACCTCAATGGCTACGAAGCTGGAAAAAAGGATACTCGTACATTCGACAGAGTAGTAGATTTACGTTGTCGAAACATACACATTCTGATGAATGCATTCATGGTAATGGCATACGGATAATAATAAACACATAGAGATAATAGATACATGTTTATATACAGAAGAAGACTGTAGTGCTATATGTATTATATAATGGCCAAATGGACGGAACGTAAATGATTATAGCAATCATCGCTGAATTCAAATACCTCCAAGCAGACCCAGCAAACATGTTTCCCACACCGGCACTCGACATGGTTGCAGCCGTCCACCTTCTCTATGGTGCACTTGCACACGGGACACTTCTTCACGTTCTCCTTCCCGTCCGACCACTCCTTGAGGGACAGGTCAGGGTCATCTTTGAACTCGCGATACTTCTCGCACGAAAGGTCGGGGTGGTACTCCAGGTGGCATCTTGTGCATGTCTCCGCGTAGCACGCTCCGCAGACGAATGCCGAGTCTGTTCCCACGCGGTAGATTGACGGGCAGTCGGGTGAGGGGCAAAACCGGTAACACGGGTTTCCTGCCACGTAAGCACTCAAGGATGCCCGGAAGAGCTCTTCCAGCTTGTCAACCGTCAAAAGAGACTTCAGGTCCGCAACGATGATGGGGGTCCCACAATCTCTGTGGAGACAGCGCAAGGGGAAACCGTCCCTGCTTCTGATTGCAGACTCGCACTGGTCCACAAGGCAGGACCGGCAGAACTGGTGGAGACAGGCTTCGAGCCTGTAACCATCGTCCACCTGGCACAGGCAGATTGGGCAGCTGGCTTCTTCGTCGTTCCTTTGGATATTCGTGCCACCTGTCTGGGCGATCTCGTAAATGGCATCCTCAACTCTTTGCTTCAGATCTTTACTGCTGCCTTTTATGTGAATGCAGTGGTGTCTGATGTTGAGAGAGAAGTCCCCCTCGGGGAACATCTCCTTTAGCCCGATCAGATCGGGCCCACACTTCTGAACCACTCTCTTCATCAGATCAGGGGGTAAGGTTTCACCGCGGAGATGGACCACGAGTTGCTTGCTTTCGTGCAACGCAAGGAGGGATTCCACGAATTTCTGACGTGCCATGTCAACCCTGTGCGGGGAACCAAATATTCTAACGGTTACGTTATGCTTGTCAAAGAGAATGTAGGTCCCAGTGTCCTGCTGAATTGACCTCATAAGACTGATGCCTTCCCAAGAGAAGAGATGTTGTAGGACCGTGGGAGTAACACCTTCATGCTCTATCACCTTTCCGTTCAAAACCTCCTCAAAAGGCTTTCTAACTTCTGCCACGATTTTGGTAGCATTTGCAGTTATCTTGACCCTATATGACCCGTTCTCATTCCGATCAAGACTGCATTCCACACCTGAAATGAACAAGCAAAAGTAACAGTTAGCTTTCAACCGCCACAGCCATTCATTCGAGCAAAATTTGAGGTTTGCTCTCGGAAATTATGACAGCAAAGAGAAAACAAGTGCTGCATGCTAAATACATTCATCAATCCTCATCATCACCAACAGCACATCAATCCCCCAACTATTTGGGGCCAGTGGCATTAACATTATATGCCGGTTTAATTTAGAGAATTAATTAACACTACAAATTCATGCAATAAAACATAGAGGAAATGCTTCGTGCCGGTTGCCCTTCCTATCGTAACTGCCACTGGAAGGAAGGAATGAGATGAAAACTCTAAAACCGTCATCATCATAGCTCATTTCCATGTGCTAAATTTAATCATACATAAAATAGACGAACATAAGAAGGGAGAACCCAATAAGACAAAAGACCCAAAAAGGAATATCAAATATCCCATTTATATATCTCAACGTTAGAAACACAAACTACATAGAAAGGGAAGAGGGAGAGGGGGATGTGTTGTCTTGTAATTTAAACAATGGGATGTATGCGTGTTTTTGTGTGTCATGGAGGCATTTGTTTCAGATTATATGAAGTGCTCTTGCTGCAGCAGAAATTAGAATAGTCTGGTTTTAAGGGGTCAGGGCATCAGGCAGGTTTTGAAAAGTAATGCTGAGGTCCTATAATTAATAGTAAATTACAGAAGCATTTCACTCACCCCATGCTTAAACTGATTATGATTTCAAACTTACGATCATTGATGAAATTAATTGTTGCAACCCATGTCTCTTCATTATCATTATCCAGTCACACATATGTCCTAACTCACCCCTCTTTTCTACAAAAACTTATGCTAAGAATTTACTTATATAAATTTAGAATCAAAATTTTTATTTACAACATCCATAATTCTGTCAACCTGAAAAGGTTTCAAATATTGAAGTTCTGAACTCCTGATAATAATTCTAAAAAACAGAATGAGAATCAACATTTAGATAAACCATCATCTGAATATAAAGATTTGTCTGATGACCTGATAACATTCACCCATTTGTTTACTTAATATTCTAAACAAGCTAAAACTGAAAATTTACAAAAGAGCATGTAAAAATACAAATCCAACATAATCTCAATTATTAATACAACAACCAAAACCCCCACTATAATCTCAACTTTGTTGGGGTCTGGGGGGTCAAGATAAACACAACAAAGAATTAATAGAATTTAAGAAACAATATGCAAAAAAAGGGATCAGATGTCCCTTGATTAGGATATTCATATGATCACATCTTATCGGAAAAAAAAAAGCTTTTTAAAGATATGAAATGAGGCTTTGGAATGTCCACCTTGCAGCATATATGTCACCTACAAAGGATCCACTATTGAGACCTTAATACTGAAGACAGCCTCCACCTAAAAGAAAGAAGTGTTCTGACTTCTAAGTTCTATGCCTCTGTGCTGATGCGGTTACTGGCTACTATTCACGTGTCTACTTCTATTTCAGAGAAACCTAGGAGTTTGAAGGCGAGCAAAGAAATTCATGATTGTAAGGACCTTGGCAAAAAAAATCTTAAAACTTTTTGCATATAAGTTCATATCGCTTGACAAACATGACAAGAAAGAAAAAAAGACAGAAATTACTGAATCCAGAAAGGTTAAGGGAATTTTTTATATGATATTATCCACAATGAACTAATGAAACTACACTGCTTCATTACATTGAATGGAAAATAGATCTTAAAACTCCAACCTCAATTTTTAATTATTAGTTTTATAGGTCCAAAGTAATGAAATTGTGGAAAATGCGTGTTCAGTGAACCTCTCTCTTAAGCAGTTAAGCTTGGTTGTTCTTGGTAACAGATGCAGTTAGGGGTGTTTTATGTTTAGGTCTGGACCGAAAAAACCGACCGAATCGGACCGTTAGGTCCAGACCGAACCTGGACCGAAATGATATTTTCGGTCCAGATTAATTCTGGTTTCGGTCCGGTCCGGTCCGGTCAATAACTGAATACCATTCGGTCTAGACCAATAAAAAACTATTACTCCCTAATCACCTCTCCTCTCACTTATCTTCCCTCCTCTCAATCTCCATCTTCTCCTCACAGTCATCAGTCCTCTCTCGTCTCCCTCTCGTCTCCGACTAAGGAAATCGTGACTTCCTTCCTCATTTCCGATTAAGGATTACAACTAAGGATTCACACAGCAGAACAGGGCACAGGTAAAGTCTGGTTAAGGATAAAAATCTGGTTAAAGATTCCGATCTGATAAAAGAAGGGATAAAAATCTGATAAAAGTCGGGTTAAAAAGTCTGATTAAAATCTTGTAAGGCACAGCGCACAAGTTTGTCTTCAAGTCTGATTGTATTTTAATCTGTGCGATTAATGTCCTATTAAGGATTCCGATCTTTACTATAGTATGGTTATATTTTTTAATATTTGTTTATATTGCTCAAACTTGTAGTGTCCAACTGTCCATGTAATTGTGTTCATGAATCATGTATATGACAGTCAGTGACCACTGAATATTTTGAGGTGGTATGGATACCTTTCAGGCATTGGTTTGATGGTAAAAGAATCTCCATTCAATTTGATTTTGCAGATTTAAATATTTATGGCTAATTGAATTACAATTGAACAATTATTTTCAGTTTTTTTACTAGTTTTGCACACAAAGTGTTTGAACAAATGGTGAATGAATGCTGCAAAAAGTGCAAAGTGCAAACTACTCGTATTATTTTTCTTTGTGCAATTACATTTGTAGTGTTTTGCTTATATAACATTTATAAATTCAATTTTAAAAAAAAGAAAAAAAAAATCGGTCTTTTCAGTCCATACCGGCTCGGTCAAAAGGTTTTCGGTCCGGACCGGTCTAAGACTGACTATTTCTAGGTCCGGTCTTCAGTCCCAATTTTTTTTCACTTCGGTCCGGTCCGGTTTGGTCCGGTTCTGGACCGATGAACAGACCTAGATGCAGTTATGGAGCAAGAGGACTATGGGAGGATTTAATGTCAAGCCAGTATGTGAATGTTGATTTAATAAATATAACGTGCTCAAGCTAGAAAGTGAAAAGGTCGCATCAAAAGGTACCTTTACGATTCCGGAATCTTGCAAGTAAAGCATCGAGCTGCATCCTAATTACATGATACACTGGTGCAGAACAAGACAGAGAACTATGAAACAGTCGTTGGCATTTTATCTTCTGCCATGGAAAACATCCAGGCAACACTTTCCCATTCATTTGTTCTAACACCTTTGCAGCTTCTAGGTGAAGATTTCCATCGAATGTGATAGTTGCTCTCATATAAGTTTCATTTGGTTCAGGTTGGAAGACCTGGACACGAAGAGAGTTACCATAGGGAGCCTTCTTAGGCATCAATGATGATATTTCTCTCAACAGAGCTTCCTCAAGAGCAACTAGTGAAGGATGTTCTACTGCATCTCCTCTGATGAAAAACACATCAATGATCTTCTTGGGCGTCAATACACTTAACTCTTCAAAGATCTCAGATTCAGAATCATCTTTACCAACTCCAGATATAACTATGCTGTCATAGGTTTTTGTGCTCCGCGCACAATGAACATACCTTCCTCCTATTATTAGATTAGAAGAAAAGTCATCAAGTATAGAAGTGACATCATTTCGGTTGCATTTCACAATAGCTGTCCCTCTACTACTCCTACGCGGCCAACAGATTCTCGCTTTGAGCAAAGGAGATGAAAAAATCTTTTGATCGCCACCACAGATTATCTTTGAAGGAACTAATGTCAGGACACCATCATTAAAATCAACAGAGTTTAGTGCAGTAGCCAGATTCGCTGCCTTAGGGCTGATAAATGTTACCCTGCCCCATTTTTCTCTCTCCTCACTGTCTTGACTTGAGCCTATAAACTTGTGGACCACACCTATGTCACCGCAGTTCCTCTCCAAAAACATCAACAACTTCTTATCATCAATTGCATTTACATTTGAATGGTATATGTCAATAGTCAAGCATCTCTTATCTAGCTCCAAATGCCTTATCACCGCACCAGCCCCAAAAAGAACAAAGGAAGCTGAAAACGAAGATCCTCCCTTGTATGTGCATTTCTCCAAACACTCATTTTTCAATATTTTATGCTCGTGTTCCAACACTTCATTTACAGACATCAAAACTCCATCCATGTCTCCAGAAGACGCATATAACAAAATCTCATTGTGATCAACATCCACCTCAATGCCAATGCGTTCATCCATAAATGATGTTCTGATTCGTGAAACAAGATGATTGAGGCAAGTATTAGACTTTCCGCAGAACCTCTTGAGAACCATGCTACCTAACCCCGTCAAAACCTTCTTTTGCAGCTTTCGAGCATCCATCTTCAGAAAGTCAAACGATGGAGGAGGAGAAAGTGCCATTAAAGAGGTGAAGTCAAAAGCAGTTGCACAAACAAGATACTCTTTAGCTGCTACCAAAATCTCATCAAACACGACCCAACTTGGCCTTTGACAGAAATTCAACAATGAACACGAAGGATGCAATTGAATATGCTTCCCAGTGAGTGCCACCTGATAACCAAGCCGGTCATAACCAGAGTACATTGCCACATTCTCAGCAAGGGATGAAAGTATTATACTTTGCAAAATTTTATCATGTTCAGAATGTACTCGGGGATTCCATCGCCAGTAACTTGGAATGATGATTCTCAGCTCATTCTGAAGGCACGCTTCCAATTCTTGCAGAGTTTCCTGGCATCTCCTCATGGTTTTGGCATTGATACTATTATCCCAGCACCACCTATTTTTCTTTTCCGGAGGCACGTGCATGTCATCCCATTCCTTGTAAACAGATAGAAGAGTGAAAAGGTCACCAGAGGGGTGGCAAAATTGCACTTTTTGGCAATCGGATTTTAGTTTTTCTACTTCAGTGCCGACTCTGCAGAAAATGCTGCTGGAGTTTGCCATAACAGTGGCAAGTGCAACACCCTCTCTACCTAAACGATTTCGGAAGCAACTAAGGAGCATTTTTCCCAGCCGAGGCTCAATACCCAGCTTCACTAGAAGTCTTCCATCATCAGTTATTTTATAACCATCATCAATTTGAGTTATAGCTCCTAACTGAATTAGACTTCGGAAAGTCATCTCAATAGCTTCTGAGGAAGGTGCATCAATAAATTCAAATTTCTGGACATCTTTTATGCCCAATGCAAGAATCCTCAGTAATGCAATACCAAGATGAACCCTGCAGATTTCAGGTTCTTCATGATAGGGCATACTCTCAAAATCAGTTTCAGGGAAGAGTCTATAACATTTTCCAGGTTCAGTTCTCCCAGCTCGCCCAGCTCTTTGATTTGCAGAACTTCGACTGATCATGCAAACCCTCAAAACACTTGTGCCAGTTCCAGGTTCAAACCACTTCTGTTTCATCAGGCCACAATCAACAACGTATTTGACTCCTGGAATTGTCAAAGATGTCTCAGCAATATTCGTAGTGAATATGACCTTTCGCTTTCCTGGGAAATCGAAAAAAATTCGATTTTGGTCGTCACCAGAGAGTTTTCCATGTAAAGGTAATGTAACAGCTGATGGTGAGCAGAACTTCTCACAAGCCCATTCTACTTCCACTTGAGAAGTCAAGAATGCAAGAATTGTTCCATCTCCCTCTGTGTTGTGGATCTCAAGCACCATCTTGACAACATTGGAAACATAAGAAGCAACAGGACCAGAACAACCTTCAGATTCACAAGGGGCATACTTAATGTCAACGGGAAATGTTCTGCCAGCCACATGAATTATTCCACATCCAAAAAAGTAGTTTGCAAGCTGATTTGCATCCGCGGTGGCAGACATGATGATGAGCCTCATATCAGGCCTCAGCTGAAGCAAGTTCCTTAGTAATGCTAGAAGAAGATCAGTGTTTAGGCTTCTTTCATGCACTTCATCAACAAGGATGCATGATATCTTGGATAAATAATTATCACTCATATACTGCTGCAGAAGGCAATGATCCGTCATAAATATTACCTTTGAGTCAAACTGATGTTTAGATGAATATGATTGATAGCAGCTAACTGAATTCTCCTCATAGCAACCAAGACATTCATGTTTAACCCTATTCGCCAAGGAGGTGGCAGCAAGTTTCCTGGGCTGAGTGCAAACTATGGCATCATTTCCACCAATTCCTGAGTCAGCAAGGAACTGCACCAACTGAGTGCTCTTTCCTGAACCAGTCTCACCGGTCAAAAGAGTGACCTAAATGAATAACATTCATTTTGAAGTTAAGATGTGATTGGAAGGATTATATACATCAAATAACAACATATTTGGATCTAAAGCAAGAAATTGTTGATACACAATGTATCTTTTAATAGCATTGTTGTTTTGGATGAACCGAGTACCTGAATCTCTTTAATGATGCTTGCTTGTAATACTAAATGTGAAAAAAGCTAAGTTCAACATAAGGCAAACATGCATGGCAAGATATATAAATACTAGGCACTTAATACTATATGGTATGCTTCCTCTATTAGTGAAGACATAAGACACTGACTCAACATCAACTATTCCAAATCCACCACCTCTAAGGCTACCTGATTACAGCGATTGGACATTAAACACAGGAAAGCTGGGAGATTGATTTTGTGTGCATGATTTCAAAAAATCCAAAACCTCCACCTTTTAAATCAAAAAAATATCTGGATATGACAGGACAAGCTGCAAAGTTCTACAAGTACAGAGGATGGGTGGATGAATTATACTTTTAAAACCAAGGTGGCATTTTAGAAAGCACATAAGAAAGTTATCCACAAACATCTAATTCAATGTCAGACATCAATCCTCTAACAAGTTATGCGGTATTACCAATGCTCAAATCAAAATGGTAAAGAGATACTTTCTTGCAATAGATGGCTTTACGACTTTACCATTGCAACATAAGGGTAAAAGAAAAGGACCATCAATAAATATATTCTAACACGGTGAACAGATAATTGTTGAAAGAACAATACAAACCATACAAGAACAAGACCGTAAACATATTATGAAAAAACCAAGACAAGTAAATACCTGTTGGCCACGTATTTGACTGAGAATTTCTTGCCGGAATGAAAAAATGGGCAAGCCATCTTCTAGCCTTCTACACTCCCTATTTACTATATGATGAATCCGGTCCCAATCGAATTTTCTATCGAGCTGAAAAAGACTCACCCCAGAAGCATCCATCTCCTTCTCCCGCTTCAAATAAAGCATTATAAACTTAACCCCATTCTTGAACTCCTCAATCCTTTTACTTATCAAATCTCGTTCGGCCAAGAAAGCCTCCTTCTTTTTCAGCAGATTAGCAGCAACACCTAAAAGATTGGGTTTCCGGAGCTGGGCAGAGACCCTATCAAGCTCGTCTAGCACCAGTGCCAACTTCTTCCGACATTTCTGCACTAATTCCCCGTCCAATAACTCCTCAAGCTTCTCAAGAAACAGGTCCGTGATACGTTCCCCCAACTCAAGCTTGTCCGAAGACACCTCCACATTCTGCTCAAGAAAAGGCGTCACAGAACTCTTTCCGTCAAGCCTTTGTCTCCACAAGAACACAATTACCTCCAGCGCCTCCGACCACTGCTGGTAAAACAGCTTCCCGGAAAAGACACTGCCCTCACACAAAAAGAAATCATGCGGCCGCCGCGGCAATTCCTCAACGAGTCTGTCCAATTCCGACCTCGTCAGCGTCTTATTTCTCAGCCGGAGGAGGATTGTGAAATTCGGCTGCTTCCACGAAGGCCTCACTCCCGGAGGGCCACCGCGGTGGTTGCGGAGAGGGCGACTCTGCTGCTGCCGAGACGGAAAACGCTGCTGCTTGTAGTAACTGCCCGGCGCGTAGCCACACGTCCTCGACGAGGAGTGCGGCCGGCCGGCGTAAGCTGGCTCATGTCTATTCATCGTCGCATCAGGGTTTTTCTCGAGAGAGAGAGAGAAAATGGAGTTAGAAATTTGGAGGGTTTCTTGGGTTATATACTCGAAAAAGAATACATTGAAATTGGGAAACACAAGGGTATTACTATTGCTGCTTCCGTGTAAACCAAGGGTCCTATCCATGGACAGGTACCGTCACCCCAAGACTCCATAATCGGTGCCCTTACCGGTTTGTACCCTACATCACCCTCGTACTAACCATTCATTTTATTTTGTTTTTATTTTTAAATTTTTTTGAAAATTTTTTGCCTTTTTTGTGTGGCGATGGAGGAGGTGGGGATGTTTGGGGTACACTTTTGGTGTACCCCTAGCATTTTCCAAAAAAAATTAATGTCTCCAATTTGATTACAAATTGAGGTTTATGAGGAGAAATATCTCACTTTTTAAATCATTGTATTTATAAATCGGTATATTGATATGAAATAAAAATTATATATAAAAAAACTACGTCAAAAGCTCTACAAAACAAGAGTTAACAAGAATATTTTATTTTATCAAATACTTAATTAAATCGCGTAAACAAACAAAAGTTATCGAGATGAGAGAAAAAAATTGTAGTCAAATTGGGGACGGATGGAATATAACCTTTTAATTTTTATGAATTAGAATATCTAAAAATGTAGTTGTTATTTAAATAATGAAAAATGAATAGCATAAAACACAACTACATATCGCTCACCTAAAAAAACTAATTACAATTTAAAAAACAAAGTTATTCACTTATTCCTCGGAACTAGGGCTTCCCTTTGTGGCTGCATTCATGTAATTTTTGGGATCAATGTCGTACCCTGACTGTTGAGCTCGACGTCTTGCCAAGAGCCAATTTCGATTGCAAACAATTGTCTCAAACAATTTAGCGATAAGACAACTTGGGTAGTCAGTTAGAATATTGCCGCTAAAACTGAATTCTTATTCCACACATACGGTTGAAACCGACATGGATTAGACTTGTCTGACTAGCATTGCAAGAGACAAGAACATGTGTTCATTCCGCTTCCACCATTCGAGGACATCAAAGGCTCTGTCGTTGTCTTCGTCGTAATCGCATAGCACCCCTTGGTACATAGCAAGTTCGTTGTGTGAACTTAGAGTTGTACCACCTGAACTCGTTGAAGCAGAACTACGCTTATCTTTTTTTGCCAAGAGGCCACCGACTATCCCTTTAAAATCTTTTTTTGTCTTGGGAGGAGGAGGCGTTGTTTCTTCCAGTGCATTACCGTAAATCGTTTGAAATTCTTTAAATAATGACTCAAAAAGATCACTCTCACTTTTTTCCTTTCTATTAAATAATCATAAAAATAACTATTTTCAACTAAAAAACAACTATAGTAATACTCCATCTGAATTTTAAAATCATCAATTTTAAAGCGAGGATCACAAATAATACCAACTTTATAAATATCAGGAATATACAAATAATAAGCACACTATTTATCCTTCATAGAAATTACATAGGGTACAACTCTGGATCAGATAAACTTTCACGAAAACATGTTGCAATTGTAATACACACCGAAAAAAATTTGTTCGTCGTAGGTTTGTAAACATGTAAGAAACTAAAAGTTGCATTATTAAAAACTTCTAACACGACACTCAATTTTTCAACAATAAGAAATTCACTCAAATCTACCATATAATGAAGTTCAAACTGAGAAATGAAGCAAGTTCCTCTTTGTAGCTCAGAATCCGTGCAATCAACTTATATCTACTACTCCATTTAATTGTAATGTCTTTAGCAAATGTTATTGGTTTCTATTCCTAGATTTACAGTAAGAATTTCATGGTTTTGGATGAATACGACTAGCTCAAATCTTTCTTAATCCATCCTTATATTGGTCAAAACTCCCCCCAATAGCTTCTAATCCATGTTGAACACACAAATTTAAAACGTGACAGGCACACCTTTGGTGTAGAAATCTAGTCATGGCGCTGCTAGGGGCAATTTTCTCTAAGTCTAGGAATGGCAGCAGTATTATTACTGGCCTTATTAAAACCAAATGTAAACACTTTATCAAGTAAATTGTATTCTTGGAGAATACGCTCAAGCAAAATATTATCATCTGTGTGAGATTCATTAAAATTGCGAAATGCAAGAACACGTTTATGCATAATCAAATCACTATCTATCCAATGACATGTAATACCCATATAAGACAAATTATGATATGTTTCATTACAAATATCAAAAAACTAGTGACACGAGATTTAAAAGTGATTAAAAAATTGCCAAATTATTTTTCCAACTTTATATTGTCTAAAAATTTCTCTATTAGCTATTTTTCTTGAAAAATCTCTTTCTTGAGGGTTTAGTGTGGATGAAAATAATCAATAAATCCAAATTTTTCGAAAAACGTGTATGGTAAATTTTCCTCACAAATTCTTTTGGCCATTTTTTACTTCTTTTGCTCATCGCTATAAGCAAAAAGGCCGCCATAATCCTTGTTTGCAAATCGAGAAATTTGGATGTGTACTTGTCCCTTCTTCCCCGTGTATTTTGGCATACTTCACGGGGTGCCTCACTCTGAGGTAATTAGTCGGTCCATCATTACCCCTTGAAGTTCCCATTTTTATGATTGCCTCATAACAAAGACAAGTTCCAAAAACTTCGCCATTTTAATATCTTTTTTAAAATGGTGTACAAATACTGTTCGAATTCTTAATCAGTCATAGTGTCACCCATGAATTAATGGGAGATTGTAGGAAAGGAAGAGACAAAGCGTTTTCCTTAAGGAGCATGTGAGCTCAAACCTTCGGAGGTGGTGATGGCTTTGCCTTTGTTAGAGCGTCCTCGTTTCACAACGCCCATATCTACGGACCTTAGCTTCTACCAGACTCCCTCGACATTTTAATATATTTTTAGAGTAAATTCCATAATTGGTCCTTTATAACAGGGAGGTTTCCCTATTCGGTCCTCTATTATCAAATATTACCTCCGTGGTCTTTCTTTTATGGGTATCTTTCCACAAATAGTCTTTTTTTATCTTCTATCATGTTGGTGTTAATTTAAGGGATAAAAGTGTAATTTCACAATGATAATATATCTTTTGTGTCATATACAATTCCAAAGGCTATTCCGTTTGCGTCGTTTGTGAATTACAGTCGCTTTCTACTACAACCATAGTCTACAAATGTGGTCTTTCATCGGAATCTTAGCCCAAAATCATAATCATTATTTTTGTGTTATCCGCTTAACCAATATCAGAACACATCACTAGACATAATGTTGATGTCAAATTATACTTTTAGCATTTAAATTAACATCAATTAAGAAAGGACTACAAGGGTAATATTTGATAATAGAAGACTAAATATCCCCCCTATTATAAAGGACCAATTATGGAATTTACTCATATTTTTATATTGATAAAAAATAGGACAATGCATTAAAAATTTAGAATATTATAATACTCTAAATTTATGCTATTAATATTATAATATATTTGAATTTCGAAATATATTATAATATAAATATATAAGAATATAATATATTTATAATATATGATTATGTATTTATATATGTGTATTATAATATATATATATATATATATATATATATATATATATATAATGAATAAAAGATAGATTAGTAGAGATTAAATAGAGATTAAGAGAGATTGAGAGAGAGACAGATTGATGAGTGAATTAAAAAAAATTAGGGGAGTATTTATAGGTAAAAATAACCCCCACCCCTTCCAAACGGCTATATTGCCGTTGGAGGCGCTCCCCATGACCCACCACCAAGAAACAAAAAGAAAAAAATTCAAAACTGGACCAGAATCGGTACTGCCGGTTTCGGTTCCAAAATTTATACACCGGAACCGAACCCATGGCCAGCGGTACCAGTACCGATTCTTCATACCGTGTCACTATCTCCTCATCGGTCCCAGTGGCGAAACTGCCAGTACCGGCACCGACACCAGTTCCCTACCGGGACCGTGTCCAGCTCTAGTCCTATCTCCTCTAATCCTCCTCGATCATTTGGTTGCATTCTTCTCTTAATTGATTTGTCCTTCTCTTGATTATGTTTCTTTCATCATTTTTTAATAGTTTCCAAGAAACTGATCAGGGTTAACACTACACATAATGATCATCTATGAATGTGTTGATAATCACCAATGAACTTATGAACATACAAACCTTACAAATTATTGTTATCTATGTGTGTACATACTCGGGGACGATTGTCATCTTGAAATCAAATATACTCGTATCTAGTATTTAAATTATTGAAATAGCAGTTACTTTGTTTTTAAAAATTTTTATATGTTACTCTATATGTTAAATATATCATAAATTTATAAATTTAATTTTTAAATTTTATCTCAATATTGAAATAAATTAACCTAGACTTTACTTTTGTGATATTTATTCAAACACTATAAAATAATATCAAATTTATTTTAGAACTAAATAAATATTTTATTTTTTACCTAATCTCTTATTAAAAAACGTTATATCCAGTTTCACCAAATGAACTGACTTATAACATTGGTCTAATACAAAGAGTGTATCTATCCTCACCCTATGTGGGTGTAAGGTGTACCCAATTACACCAGGCCACCGATTTATAAAGGCCTAAAATAAAGAGCAAACCTTAGTAGGGGTAATTTATATCTTGTTTGGTAACAACGTCATAGTTCAGCATTAATATTTTAGAAAATTTTTTTCTAATGATAGCATTTGCATTTTAAAATTTTGTCTAAATTAATCTAGCTTGCCTTTATTGCGGCAAAATCCTAATCAAACTTTGGTCATGTTCTCGTCTAAATGGTTCTGATCTAATTAGAATAAGTTTTGATCTGATCTGATTTGGTCTAATCTGATCTGAACTTTAACGCCCCAAAACATACCCTAAAATTATTAATGAATAATTATTCAATTTAATAAATTTATTATGATTAAAATAAATTTTTGTTGGACTTTGGACGGAAATGAAATGTGTTTTGATATCCAATATCACAATCTGGATAAATCTCATAAAGATAAATCCAATATCTTACCTTAATGTGTAATCTTGATTGGGACCATGGTATAGACCCAAATTAAGAATAAATAATGCAATTGACTTATGATGTAAGCTTTTTAAATGATTAATTGAAATAAATCATGAGAATAAATAATATGAATTGAATGTGAGAATCTTTTTTAATAAAGGTCAACTAAATCAATTTCGACTCTGTCAAAGTCAAACACCCAAAAATATGATGTCAGAAAAAGTATTAAAAATAAATATAAAAATTATATCGTTGAATAGAATTTGACTGTTTGATCGCAACGGTGCAAAAGGATTTCAATTCGGAGAAAGTTGGACCAAAAAGTATACCCCAACTGGGACCAAATTAGTCCGAATCAAGGACTGACGTGTAGGATA